TCGCCGATAATCCGCCGCCGGAATTCGCTATCCGCTAGCGAATACCCCGCAGTGACAGCGGATACCCGTCCAGCGTGTGCTGAATTTGGGCGGGGGATGCACCCTCGCAACCTGAAATACCGGCGAGGTATCCGGGGTATCCCTTGGAATCCCCGGTGACAAGAGGTCACCGCTCCGGGAGGAATCCCTCCCGCCACGCTGGTCTTTCAACCATCTCGTCGGGAGGGGTTCCTCCCACACGAGCTCGTCTGTGTACCAGCTTGTTGCGAGGGGTTCCTCCCGACGAGCTGGTTTAAAATCCAGCTCGCCGGGAGGAACCCCTCCCAACAAGCTGGTACACAGACCAGCTCGTCGGGAGGAACCCCTCCCGACGAGATGGTTTAAAAACCAGCTTGCCGGGAGGGATTCCTCCCGGCGGTGTGGCCTCTTGGCACCGGGTATCCCAAGGGATACCCGGATACCCGCCAGTATTTCAGGTGGAAGGGTGCATCCCCACCCAAATCCGCACCCGCTGGCGGGTATCCGCTGGCACTGGCGGGTATCCGCCAGCGGATAGCGGATATCCGCGGCGGATTATCCGCGACCATCTCTAATCAAGGTCCAAGAATAATCCAGATTTTAAAAGAGGTACACAGAATTCAAAAAATATCACTGCGTACCTTGTCTTGGCTCCGTCAGATGTGGGAGTTGCAACACAAAGACCTTCAAAATGTACCACCACCACCTCTATCACCTCAGATCCGAGCTTCAATCTTGTCATCACATGCTAAAGGTCTGAACTTGGTGGAAATTCAAGCTTGTCTACCCCATGAAGTTCAACTTCAAGTCTCCAACAGCAGTGTCAAGCGGTACTTGAGGAGGCTTGGGATCAAATCACTTGCTAATGACATAGCAGATGACAGAGTGACAATGGAGAGGGTGTTTGAAGCTTTTGAGCATGCGCAAAGAAGCCTGCTCCACAATAACGCAGGATATCAGAGAATGCAGACGATTTTGATGCGACAATACTCCATAAGAATCCCCAGGTGATTTTCTGGCCTAAATAAAGCCAATGGCCTTCATGCTGATTTAACAAACTATCTTTCAATAAGACACATAGTCTATGATGTCCTCAAACAGGTGGATCCTGAAGGTGTGGCAGCCCGATTACAACATGCTGTGTCCGCCGGATTTACAGAACTTACAGGCCCAATCACATCTGGGCCTGTGATGGCCACGATAAGCTGAAGAAGTATGGAATCTGTGTGTATGGATTCATTGATGCATGGTCAAGAAAAATCTTGGGAATGTTTGTGCATGTTACCAATAATGACCCGCGCCACATTGGAATTTACTTTCTTCATCTGGTTTCAACTATTGGTGGCATTCCTCTGAAAGTCACCAGTGACTATGGAAGTGAAACTGTTGACATGGCTACTTATCAAATGTGGCTGTCTTCTCAATTTGGTGGAATTACTACTGAAGAAGCTGAGAAACGTATGCACTTTACCAAATCAACCCACAACCAAAAGATAGAAGCCCTATGGTCTCAGATGATGAAACAACACAAACGCTCCATCATGTACAACATTGAAGAGGCCATTCAGAAAGAAAATTATGACCCCAATGATGAAATTCAAAAGTAAGTAAGCCATTGTTTTAATTAAACACGTGATTTAATGACTGATATAATTGTCACTGGCTTCTCTTCCTATTTTTATGGATACCAGTTTTCCAATCTAGCGTGGACATTTGGGTTGATACATACAACCATTCCAACAGGCATCTTGACCACCGAACTGCATTGCCAACCGGATGTAGCACAGATTTCTGTTACAGCACCCCTGAAAGTAAAGGAACTACGGATCAGCTGGTCCAAGTTCCAGCGGAGGAAATTGATATGCTTATGGAGGCTGACTTCCCAGATCATACTTCAATGTTTGAACACACCCCTCATTGGTTTCATGAGGTAGCAACACAAATTCTTGCCAACTTAGACATTGACTTTTCAGAAATATCTTTTGGTAATGTTTGGACGGTTTTTCATAAGATGCTTCCACTTGTTGAAGAGCAATTTGATCAAATCCCCCAATCATAATTGTAATCTGGATCTATGTGATTGTTCAAATAATATTACAGAAATCCCCCCATTCCAATGACTTGACACTTTTGACTTTTATTTTTCATACCTCATTTATCTTGAAAGTTTTGTCTGGTTATGGCTTCTCCCTCATCCCAAATGTTAATACCAATGACCACAACGAGCATTTTTATATTCTGATAGCACTCATCATCTTATCTTGGCAGGATATTTCTTGTCTCATTAACAATCATACCAAATTAGGCAGCCTTCAGGAATTTATACACCCACATTTAATAATTGATTGACTTTTGAAAGAACTGGTGACAACAAAATTCTGCTTTTCAACATCCTAATCTACATCTGAGAACCAAATAGTGCCCAATGAACTGGTTGGCATGTCCTACTAATTTTCATTTAATCTAATTGCCTCATTCCTTGGGATTACTGTCCTTTTTTGTCCTTGGAATTTGTCTGGATTTTGAGGTTATCTATGTAGTTTTCCACTATGCCTTTTTTAAAGCTGCCCACTCAATACAAAAACAGCTGTGATTGCCATGGGTTCACTTGTTGGACGGGTTCAGGGTATCCAGCTAAAAGGGGGTTTGATTAAAATAATATGTACACAGTCAGTGGAACTCCTATACCACAGACCAGCCAGCCTTGGCCATATAGTTGCAAACGTCATTAACCGACCACAATTTTTTTTGGGTCCGGATGGTTGGGGACCAAATTTTTGCAATTTTTCTTTTGTGAAAATAATACCAAATCAGGAAATTTTCTGACCTGGTAGCAACTGGCCAGGCTCTGCAAGTCATATGTGCTTTGGTCTAGTGGTCCTGGGTGGCTTTAGGCCTTGCCAAAGGTTGTGTGTTCGACTCCAAGCCGAGGTTTGCATTACTGAAAGCCTTTTTGACCTTTGGGTATAGGTTACAAGCATGTACTGATGTCATGTATGGCCTTCCTTAAGCCATATAGTCACCTGTAAATCCATACATATGTAATTAATAAAGTGTTTATAGACCGGGTCTGATGGGGCAGAGAAAAAAAAAGAAAAAAGAACTGTCGGTCGGATGCCTTAATGGAGTTAATTCTGAACTCCCCTTGGTCTGAAACACTCAAAATTGTGGTTAGATGGGGGGTTGAGCCTATGTGCCCCCTACCATGAGGGCCCGCGTGCAAATTGTAAATTTTGCAGGAGGGTCAGTACAGGTTTATGACGTTTGCAACTGTATTTATCTTCCTGCTTTTAGGTCAGCCAATTTCCAGGAAATTTTCATTCTCTCAATCAACAGGTCAGACCTACTCATCCAGCAGAGTCAGTCAGAGTCAGCAATTGACTTGAGCAACATAGCCTTTATCCAGAATCATCTCCAGCTGATTGTTGATCTCAATCTCAAGGGTCTTGGCTATCTCCTTCATCAACTGGTAAGCAATTGATTCATTTGTTGTAGCTGGGTTATCCACAAAAGGCTCATCTTTCTGATCGCTGAACACAAGTGATCCAAATAGAAAAATCAGTTCTACTCCTCTTGATTCACTTCTGCTGCTCTTATCTGGCTTGTGATTGGTCATTAATATCTTGGCTATTCCCGTCCTCACCTGGTAAGTAATCAGTTCAATTGATGTAGCCTGGCCATCTCCAGCAGTCTTCCTTTGCCAGCTGATCGCTGGAGAAAACTGGATTCAAATAGGACCATCGGTCCTAGTTGTCTTGCTGCTGCTATCTGCCTTGTGATTGGTCATTATTAATTAATATCTTGGCTATTCCCAACTGGTAAGTATTTCATTCAATACATGTGGCCTGGATATCTGCAGGAGTCCCTACAGCTGATTGCTAAAGACCATTGTATTCAAATTGAACAATTGATCCTAATGCTCTTTCTGCGGCTATCTCTCTCATGATCGATCACTAAGATCTTGGCTTTCCCAATCCCCAACTGGTCAGTGTTTGATTGAATCAATGTAGCCTGGTTATCTACCGGAGGCTTCCTTCTCCAGCTGATTGCTGAACTCAGCTGTCTCCAAATAGAACCATTGGTCCTAATCCTTTTGCTGCTGCTATCTGGCTCATAATCGATCATCAAGATCAAAAAGGAAAAACATAGGTAATAAGGAAATTTTAACGTATCCTGGTATAAAATCTTCCTGATACAAATCTAAGCAGAACTCTTCCCTTTTTAATCGCTGAACTCAAGGAAATATAAATAAACTCATTGGTCTAGAGTCATCTGTTCTGATAATTGACAATAGACCTACCATCAAGTCCGTAAGTCATTCATGACACCATCCATTTGAAGCTGACAAGTTTGCTAACTGAAGGCAGTATATCCAGTGCCTTGCTTCCATATTGTCTCCAGGAAGCTCTCTCGTCTGAGTCATAGACCCAACTGAATCTATCCTGGTATGAATGTCTCTATACGCAACCAGCCCATGCATTTCTAACCTAATATGGTTTGTTTATTTTTCCATATAGATCATTTACTCTGTCTCTGACTGTTTCCTATTGCTTTGAGCAATCATGACACGTAGCTCTTGAACTTTTGTCCCAAAAAACCAAGTGCTCCCAATCTGAAGCAATCAGTTGGGACACAAATAAAGTCTGAGTCCCGTCATCAAGCTAGGAATGTCATGAAATCCAAGGCCAGGGCTAGAAAAAGGCGGGAGAAGAGGCCAGAAATATATTCATCAACAATTCAGGAAGGTGGGATCCAAGAACCAGTCAGTCATCTGGTCCTTCCAAAAGTTTGTTTGCCGTGAACTCTATCCCGAAATCAAAGCCGAAAATAAAAGACCTCCTCGAAAACCAAATGCCAAGGAACTCCAATACGCTGAAAGCCTTGTTGACGGTTTCGTTCATTTTACCCATGGGAAAGTGGTGGTTGTTGATAAGTCAAATCACGATAAAATCATTGCAGTCATCCAGTTTACGCCCATTGATAGAGATGGTCTCTGGGTATCCGTCGCGGATACCTGCCCACTGTAGCGGATGCACCATTTCCCGCATTTTACCAGCGGATACCCAGGTATCTCAACAGATACCCGAGACCAATGGCCGGCTGGAAGGGTTTCCTTCCAGCTGGCGAGGTACATGTTCCTTGCAGACTGGAAGGAAACCCTTCCAGTCGGCAAGAGGTACATGCTCGCTGGCTGGAAGGGTTTCCTTCCAGTCGGCGAGGTACATGTACCTCGTCAACTGGAAGGATTTCCTTCCAGCCGGCAAGAGGTACATGCCTCTTTGGCTGGAAGGAAACCCTTCCAGTCAATGAGGTACATGTACCTCGTTGACTGGAAGGATCTCCTTCCAGCCAGCAAGAGGTACATGTACCTTGCCAAGAATTTCTTCCAGCCGGCGAGGTACATGTACCTCGCCAACTGGAAGGAACCCCTTCCAGCCAGTGCCTCCACCACCTATTAAAGGGTGGGTATCCGAGGATACCTGCCAGCACCAGCGTATACCATCTGGCGGGTGCGGATGCGGGTTTGGATGCCTATTTCCCCAGAAAAAGCAGTCGGATATCCGGATGCGCCCGGGCCATCTCTACCCATTAGGGGGTATCAAATATAACCAAATCCACCATTATTTAATTGACTGGTTTGAAAAAATCCACCCTTTTTTAAACATGTTGGTTATCCATTTAACCCCTTTTGGGGCCCATTTATGCAAAAAAAAGTTTTTGGAAAAGTGACTGGTTTCTGATGGTGGATTTCCTACATTTGATACCCCTATTGATTAGAGATGGTCGAAGGGTATCCGTCGCGGATACCCGTTATCCGCTGGCGGATACCCGCCAACGGGTGCAGATGGCCCCTTTTCCGCAAAAAGTTGGCGGGTATCCGGGTATCCCAAAGGATACCCGCGGCCGGAAGGGGAGATGGCCGGCTGGAAGGGGACCCTTCCAGCCGGCGAGGTAGAGGTACTTGTACCTCATCAACCGGAAGGGCTTCCTTCCAGCCGGCCCTTTAGAGGGCGGGTATCCGAGGATACCCGCTCGGATACCCGCTGCGGCCGACGGATACCCGCCAGCGGGTGCGGATGCAGATGCGGATGCTCAGATGGCCGGAAAAAGCAGCCAGATATCCGGATGCCAATCGACCATCTCTACTATTGATTAGCTTTCAAAAAACAAGAAAGACAATATTAATTACGTTACCACGTTCCTCCACCAAAGCAAAGAATTTGTCGAACCCATAGGGCCGAGTTGCACTTGGGGAGGTCCCATGTGGTCCTTTGGGTGGAGGAAAGCCATGAAGGCATACAAACTCTTTGATACATACTTGCGAGAATCCTCAGTCCTCGCTAATATTTTCCAATATTGAAAGCTAGTCTCGAAGTCCAAACATGTCTTGACTATACTTGGCCAAATGTTTCACAATATGGCCGACATCCCTTTCAATCAAAACCAAGCTTTAATGGAAAAGAACAGTATCCCTTCGCTCTCTTTCTTCAAGTTTGAGGATAAACTTGGCAAGTTTGACTGTTCACCACCCATGGCTTTTATAACAATCCTCACTGTGATAATCGAGATGTTTCAAACTATGCCTTTGCTCTCTTTGTGCCTACCAATTCGAACAATGGCTCGCTTGCAACTTTATCCTCTGGGGATGAAATAACTGGAGGTCAGTTTGTATTCCCAGATCACAAATTTTGTATAGACTTTACAGACCACAAAAGCATTTGGGCTGCAAGTCAATATCAACATTGTACCCTTCCACCCATTGAGAAATTCCCCTTTGCCCAAAAGGGAATGTCTCTTCAAATTAATAGCCGTACCTCAAACACCAGCCAGGACCTCAAAAGTGGTGCAATTTTACTTAGAAAGTCTAACATAAATAAAGATCTGAAAAAATTGTATGTTGGTGGTCCCAGTCACTATTTAAGAAAGAAATAGTATTGTTCTTGTTTTTCATTCCTCATGCCCAATTCTCTAGTCAACCACCAATGCCATGTTGTTTCCTGATCCCTCATACTATCAACCGCTTTCATTTTAAATGGTCAACCCATTATTTTTAGGGAATCGGAAAAACGACTCCCGTTTTTTTGCCAACGACTCCCAACAACCGTCAGCGGACGTCCCATTGGGGAGTCGTCCGCCCAATATCAATTTCATTTTTTATTATTATTCTTATTATTTTTTTTGGGAGTTGACTCCCCAAACCACCTCTCATGTATGGGGAGGGTTTGGGAGTTGCTCCCTCCCACTTGACCAGAA